TGGGTCTTCTGTGTAAAGGACCATGGTTATCTATGAATAAAGATAGCTTTGACTGCCACTTTTTCTATAGCTATCCCTTTTATTTCTTTGTCTTTTTCTTTTTTTGGTACCAGGGATCGAACTCAGGTCCTTGTGCTTGCGAAGCAGGCAGTGGAACCACTGAGCTAAATCCCTAACCCCATAGTTCCTTGTCTTGCCTGATTACTCTTAGAAAGTTTTGAATACTATATTGAACTGTGGTAGTGAGAGTGGGTATCCTTGTCTTATTCCTGATACTAGAGAAAAAGCTTTCAGTTTTTCTCCATTTAATATGTTGGCTGTAGGTTTGTCATAGATGGCTTTCATCAAACTAAGATTTAAAATTTTTTTTTTTTTTTTTTTTTTTTAATTTATTTTTTTTGGTGCCGGAGATTGAACTCAGGTCCTTGCACTTGCAAAGCAGGCCACCGAAAGAAACACTGAGCTAAATCCCCAGCCCAAACTAAAATAATGTCTTTATAGACCTATTTATTTTTTTTTCCCCTAATAAATCATGAATCAAGCCCAACTTGGTGGTGCACGCCTATAATCCCAGCACTCAGGAGGCTGAGGCAGGAGGATCGCTGTGAGTTCGAGCCCAGCCTGGACTACACAGGGAGTTCCAGGTCAGTCTCAACTCCATAGGGAGACCCCTTTCTCAAAAAAAAAAAAAAAAGAAAGAAAAGAAAAGAAAAGAAATAAATCATAAACCAAGTTAGATTTCAACAAAGGCCTTTTCTGTATCTATTGATAATAACGAGTGTTTTTTTTTTTTCCCCTTGTTTCTATTTATGGTGATATATTACATTTATTGATTTGCATATGTTGAAACATAACTTGCATCCCTGGGATTTAAGCCTGACTTGGTCATAATTTTTTGTTCTTTGATACAGCATCTCACTATGTAGTTCAGATGGCCTTCAACTCACTATGTAACCCAGGCTGGCCTCGAACTCCTGGTGATCCTCCTGCCTCTGCCTCAAGTGCTAGGATTGCAGGTGTGCACTACCATGCAAAGCTGCATTACAGGTTTTTTTTCTTTTGGTACCTTGGAATGAACTCAGGACCTTGTGCTTGCCAGGCAGGCAGTGGAACAACTGACCTAAATCCCCGGTTCTGGATTATAGGTTTTTGAAGTAGATTTTTATCTTCTAGATCCTGGAGTTGCCTAGTGTGATTTAAGGTTTTATTTTGGATTGATATGTATTTCTTGGGAAGCAGGCACAGCACAACTGAGCTTAAACCCCCGGCCCTAAGTTTTGTTTTGTTTTGTGTTTTTGAGGAACCACTTCTTGAACTCATTGATTCATTTTTTTTAAAACTCATTTTAGTAGTTTCTGCTCTAAGTTTTATCATTTCCTTGTTTGTACTAGCTTTGGATTTGGGTTCTCTTTCCCTTTTTTAATAATAGGCTCCCTTCTATGTTTTTTATTTTTTCCTTCTATGTTTTTGTGATTGTTTTAAGGAGAATGTGCAATATTTGTCTTTTTGCACTACTAGGAATTAAACCTAGTGCCTTAGCATTGAGCTATAATCCCCAGCCCACTTTGTGCATTCCTTGAGACATGTCTCACAACCTTGCTAAATTGCCTGGGCTGGGCTTGAACTTGTAATCCTTCTGCCTCAGCCTTCCAGAGTGCTAGAATTACAGGTGTGTGAACTGAATGCTGCTGCATGCTTTGCACAAGGTCCTGAGTTTGATCCCAGGTACAAAACAAACAAAAAGTACATTTGTGTGTCACTATGACTGGATACTTGTCAGTTTCCAAGTCTGTCTTATTTTGCTCAACATGATATCAGTTTTCTTCATATAACCCAATTTTCTTCTTTATGGCTGATTAATATTCCTCTCTCGCGTGCTCTCTCTTCTCACATTCTTTTCTTCTTTTTTTTTTTTTTGGTACTGGGAATTGAACTTGGGACCTTGTGCTTGTGAGCCAGGCAGTAGAGCTAAGTCCCTGGCCCAACATCGTCATTTTTTTGTTTGTTTGCTTTCATTTTTGTTTTTCAAGGTTATTAGGGATTGGACCTAGGGCCTCAGTGATGAGCTACATCCTTGGCCCTTTGTTCTTTTTATTTTGACAGTCTAAGTTGCCCCAGCTGGTATTGATCTTGATGTCCTTCTTTCTGCCTCCTAGAGTACTAGGATTACAGATGTGGGCCACCATGCCCAGCTCTATCCATTGATGGGCACCTAGGCTGCTCCCAAGATCTAGGCTAGTGTGTGTATGTGTGTGTGTGAGTGAGAGAGAGATAGAGAGAGAGAGAGAGAGAGAGAGGGTCTCACTGTTAGTTGAGACTGATCTGGAACTCACTATGTAGCCCAGGCTGGTCTTGAATTCACAGCGATCCTCCTGTCTCAGCCTCCTGAGTGCTGGGATTATAGGCGTGCACCACCACGCCTGGCTTAGGTGTAAATTGTGACACGTAGGGTAGGTATGCAGGAATTCTGCTAGTATGCTGAATTTATTCCCTTTGGGTCTACACAAGTTGTCTAACAGGATCAAATGGTAACTATTTTTAGTTTTCTTGAGACAGGGTCTCACAAGTTAGGTAGCCTATAATGTACTATGTAACCCAGGCTGGGTTTGAATTTGCAGTGATCCTTCTGCCTCTGTCTCCTAAGTGCTGAGATAACATGTGTGTGCAACCATACCTGGCTCTCTTAGTATTTGAGGAAGATCAGACTGATTTCTTTCCCTTGTTTCCTTCCCTTTTCACTTTCTCTTTCTCTCTTTCCTTTCGTACCGGCATCTAAACTCAGGACCTTGTTTGTGAGGCAGGCTGCGTCACCACTGAGCTATATCCCTGGCCCAACAATAGTGTTTTTCTAATATGCATGTTAATCACCCTGAAATCTTGGTAAAGTTTTGTTAATACCCTGATGGAACCTATGTAGGATGGTGCCAGGGATTCTGCAGCTTGAAGCATCTAGTCTGTGGGTGCTTGGTCCTGGACCAGATGGAAAAATAGAGGGGAACTATGCTTCAGATGGGCCTGTTCAAAGGATGGAACTGGGGGCCCCAGGGGACATACCATCCTTCAAATCTGGAACCTACTGTAAATCCGCCCCCGCTGATCACGCGCCCTTCAAACTGCATCCCACAACGCCCCCTGGTGGACACAGCACAAGTGCATCTAGTAGCCAGGCCTGCAGTTGATGCTTCTAGAAGGTACGAGGAGAGACTAGAGCCTCTAACTGGGCAGCCTGGTGAGTCTCAGATGTGGGTGGGGACCTGGTGTAGACAGCCAGCAGCTTTTTGGTGCAAGATTTTCCCAGGCAGAGGGTATGACGTGAGTGACTATTCGGGCTGTTTGGAAGGAAAATAAGTACGGGGGCCTCACTCTGTGCCTACGTCTTTTTTAATTTTTTGGTTTCTGGTATGGAACTTAGTACCTTGTGCTTGGAGGCAGGTGGTGGAACCACTGAGCTAAATCCCCCAACCCACCTAGGAAAGAAAGCCAAGGCCCGTGACTTTTGGGTTAAACTGGCACTCGTGCCTCTGGGCTGTTAACCTGGTTTAAAATTGATCTCAGATTTGCCTCTTGGATGTTGGTGGGCGTGGTGCTGGGGATTGAACCAAGGGCCTGGCAAATGTTAGACAAGTGCTCCAACATTGAGATGTTGCAGGCTTTTTTTTTTTTTTTTGTGGTGTTTTTTTGACACAGGGTCTAATTAGATAGCTCAGGCTGTCCTTTATCTTACTATGTAGCCCAAGCTGGCCTGGAACCTGATGAGGTGAACCTCTGGGATTACAACCATTTGGCACCATACCTGGCTTAATCTGACTTAAAATTTTTTTCTTTTGGTAGTACCTGGGAATGGAACCAGGGTCTTCACAGTGAGCTATATCCCTAGTCTCAGTTTTTATTTTGCGATAGGGCCTAAGTTGTCCAGGCAAGGCTCAAACCTGTGATCTTTCCGTCTCCTCCCAGAGTGGTGAAAGTATAGGTAGGTCTGTGTCACAATACCCAGTCTCATCGTTTTTTATTTTTTAATCTAAGAAACTAATCTGGTCTATTCATATTCTTTGCTTTGAAATGGGCCTACACTTAACTCTGGGAAGGTGCAGGTTCTTGTGTCTAGCACATTTCTAATTATTACCAGTACTGATGCAGACTGTGGGCCAGGCCCGAGGTCATACAGCCCATCAACCCATCTATGCTGATTGTCCTGTGCCCTGCCTGGTTTACCTAGTAATGATGCAGGTACCAGGAGGGACAGTGATGGGGAGACCAAGTGAAGAGGTAAGGTGGAGGCTGCAGCAGGCCATAGGCTTGTATGCCTCTCCTTTTAACTGCCCCCTGCCCTCTGTGCCTTTCCTCCATCTTCTTGGGAACTTGGGATTCAGAGCCCCAGCTGGTGAAGGAGGAGGCTAGTGAATGACAGACCAGCAGACCAATGGGCCCCTGAGGATGGGTGGGGGTGGGACTTGTGCTGCCATGGAGAGGAGAGAAGCTGTTATGTGGGGGAGGAGGGGGCAGTGGGAAGAGGACCTGGAGATTGAGGAGAAGGGAGAGAGCAAACAAAGGGGTCAGAGGGAAAATAATGCACTGGCTTTCTGAGGCCCTGCAGAGGCTGGGCTGGGAGAGAGGGCCAGGCACAGGGATTTAAGGCTGACTGCCTGCAGGTCAGGGCCAGCAGGTCCTAAATGGCATTGTTTGAAGGTGCCGGCTAATTGCACACAGTAGCCTGAGCCTCAAACCCCAGCCCTGGCTCTCTCCTCTATCCTGGGTGCTGGCGTCTTGAGCCTTTGGGGCTGCCTGGCCACATGGAACCAAGTCCAGAGCCTCCGAGTTTGGTGAGGGGGCAGGATATGGGGGGCAGCCTGGGTGGGGTCCTGGGCAGGATGCCACCCTGAGATCAGGTCACAGGCCTCTATGCCTAAGGACAGAGAGCCGGTGACAGGAAGTTTGGGGGTATGCTGCCTGCTGGCACCTCTTGACTACCTGCTCCCCTACCATTCTGGCTTCTCCCACAGGAAACAATGAAGGGAGACACCAGACACCTCAATGAAGAGGAGGGCACCAGCGGGAGGGATGACTCCATTATCATCGTCAACGGGGCCTGCAGTGACCAGTCCTCCGACTCCAAGGACGCCCCCTCGCCCCCAATCCTGGAGGCCATCCGCACCCCGGAGATCAGAGGTGGTCGGGCCAGTGGGGAGTTGGGTGGGACCAGGGCAGACACAGTGCATGGTCCCCATGGATTTCCTGCAATCTCTGCTTTTGGGGAAAGGTACACTGATATCTTCCACCCACCCCAGAAGGCAAAAGACAGCACCTGTAAGAGTGCTGTGCTGGCGGAACCCGAGCCCCCTGCATCTCTGCCAGCCCACTCTGCTTTCACCTCAGCTATGCCTCTGTAGGTGATAGTCCCCTGCCATCTGCCAGCTCCCTAGGGATGCTCCTGGCACAGGCTGGGTGGGATCTTCGGTCCTTTTGCAGTGTGAGTCCTTACTTCCCCCAAAGCAGGTACTAGGGTTTATGGCATAGGGTACAGCCAGGCAGGCTTAGTTCCTACTACTCCTTTCCTTAGTGGTTCCCAACTGAGAACCTGCTGCACTTGGAAGCCCCTGTACTACCTCTTCCTGTGCTTTTTGAGTCCTCCACAACTTTTGCTTTTTTTTTGAAAGCAGCCTGTTTCTGCACTGTTCACTGTAATAGCAGTGAACATACCTGAGCCCTAGAAGTGGACCCATAGGGCTGGCAATGACTTTATTTAATTGCAGTTTGTGGTCATAGAATTGCACAGCACCTTTCTTGATTCCATGACGCCCCTCAGTACCTGTGGAACGTTTGTATCTTGTTGTATCCCTGGCTTGTGCCCCGTTGCATGCCGGGGCACTGAGGAGCTAGGACATTAACCCCTGAGGATGTCAACCATTTGGAGAGATCCAGGCCACAGTCCTGAGAGGAGTTCCTGTCAGCAAAGCTGTTCTCCTGGCACTGCGTACCCCTCCTCAAACTCAGGTTCTGACTCTTTCTTCTGCAGGTCGCAGATCAAGCTCCCGACTGTCCAAGAGGGAGGTCTCCAGTCTGCTCAGTTACACTCAGGTAAGGCTTGCTGCTTCCACTCCAGTGCTTGAGGACGTTTCCTTTAGCATTCCTTATGGGTATCTCTAGGCTCAGAAAAATTGGCACCCGTAATTCGAAACCTTACATTTTGTATTTTACTAAATTAGGAAGGTAATGTTTTACTGGATTCCTCTTTTACATTTGTCAAATTACTTTTCAATGTGGTTTGTTTTGGATTTGCAATCCTCCTACCTCAGCTTTCCAGAGTGCTGAGAATATAGGCTGATATCATGCCCACTTTTAAATCTCCACCTGGATGATGTGTGGCTTCACTAACCCTTCCCATTTATTCCTGGAACAGGCCCTGCTAGGTCATCGAGATAAAAACTGTTTTAGGCAGCGGAATGGGGAAAAAAAATAAGAACAAAGATATATCATGTACATGTAGAAATGATGAATGTCATCGTATTAATACTGAAAATGTGCCAATAAACTTAATGAATTTAAATAAGGTAAGAAATGATCCGGGGATTTAGCTCAGTGGTGCTGCCATCTGCCTCACAAATGCAAGGACCTTAGTTCGATCCCTGGTACCGCCCCCACAAAAGGTTTGAAAATGTTTTTACAGTGAGAGCACAACTGAGGGCTCTTGTGTGCTAGGCAATTCCCTCCACAGACGTACAGCCTTAATGCTTGGGTTTTTAAAAATTCAGTTATTCATGTTTCAAATTTATTCACAATTTTGTTTCTGTGAATGTGTATGATTTTTGATATCAGTTTATATGCCTCACATTAAAAAATTATATTTTGGGGTACTGGGGATCGAACTCAGGACCTTGTGCTTGTGAGGCAGGTGGCAGCACCACTGAGCTAAATTTAAAACCCCAGCCAAAATCTTTTGTTTTTTTATAAACTGGGAAAAACTTGTTTAAGTTACGTTTAGAAGATTTTTAAACAGTTCTACTTCATCAGTTTTTCAAAGTTACTTTTTATATCATGGTTTTTTATTTGGGCCTTCAGTTTTATATTTAATCTTTATAGACTTTTGTCAGGTTAGTTACTCTTTTCAAAGAGCCGTTGTCATACACTGGGCACAGCCAGAGATAGCTGCAAAGCACCCAGTGTGGAAAACAAGTGATACCCAGAGCTGCAGAGAAAAAACTACCCCACAGTGTTTGACCAAAAGCTGAGCATTTTCTTGTGTCTGGCACTGGGCTAAACATGCAGTGTTTGATTCTACTGGTAATTGAGCTGCACTATGAGGGAAATGTTTTTTTCAAATATAGGGGAGTGAATTTGAAAAAGGCTACAGAGTTGGTGACAAGCCAAGTCCTTTTTCTTTTCTTTTGTTGTGTTTTGTTTTATTTTTGAGACAGAGTCTCTCTGTGTAGTTCAGGCTGGCCTTGAACTGATTCTGTAGCACAGACTAGCCTCAAACCTGTAGTGTTCCTTCTGCTTGAGCCTCCTGAGTGCTAGGATTACAGGCATGTGCAACTATGCTAAATTCTTCAAGACTTGAGCCAGACCTTTATCTAGGCTGGACAGTAATTGCATTTTTGTGTTCTCAGGGTATGTTGGGTTTGATGTGAGGCTGGAGATTTATACTGGGGATTTTCATGGCATAGTGCAGAGTTACTACCACTGTGTAATTTTTGTATCAAGAAGTATCTCCCTTGAGTAGCTGACCTGTGTCTTTCTTTTCTCATGTGCTGTGAACAATACAGATGTGCCAAGTTGCCCTGTTGGCTGTAGTCAGTCAGTCAGTCTCCAATGAAACTTTCCTCTCATTTCTACGATGTTTCTTTGGGGTTTTGTTATGTTTTCAAGCTAATCCTGGCCTGCATTTGTGTTCATGTGAGAGATATTTATTATAAAACCTTTCTGGGTGGCAGAGTACTTGCTTGTACTTGCAAGGCTATGGTTCTATCCCCAGTACCTTCAGTACCAGCAAAATTAATCAAGGTTGCTGACAATATTTTAGAGTGTTGGGTTAATGTTTTTAGGTTTAAATATGATCGACTATTTTCAACTATAAAAATATCTCATTGGAAAAACAAGGTAATTGACAATACTCTTTAATACTACAAAATTAATATTAGGATGCATTTTAATAGGTTTGATTTTTTTTTTTTCTTTGTGATTTAGTTATAGTGAAATATAGCTCAAGGCCTGGGATGTACCTCAGTGGTACGGTGCCTGTCTGGCAAACATGAGTCCCTGAGTTCAATTTCCAGCCCCCCCTCAAAAAAAAAATTATAGTTCAGCGCCTTATGGCTGGGTATGGTGTGGTGCACACCTGTAATCCCAGCGCTCCAGAAGATTGAGGCAGAAAGATCACAAGTTAGATCACATCCTGGGAAATTTAGCAACTTAGTGAGACCCTATCTCAGAGGGGACTGAGGAGGCAGGCAGTTCAGCGAAAAGTCCCGAGGTTCCATCACCAGTACTCAGGAAAAGTGTCATTGTGATTCCTCCGCAAAGGATCTGACTGGCGACGGAGACGGGGACGGCAGAGGGGAAGATGGAGATGGCTCTGACACCCCAGTGATGCCCAAACTCTTCCGTGAAACCAGGACTTTGTCGGAGAGCCCAGCAGTAAGTTCCCACACACTGAGCCCAGGCCCTCCGCACCACTCAGTCCTGCTTCACAAACACCCTCCTGCACACCTTGAGGGACAGCAAGGTACGCACACTGTCATGGTGGGAATATTTCATTTCACGTGCTGTTCCTTTCTTCCTGTGGTAGATTTTGTTTTTCTTGGATCTGTCTTGGAGGAGATGGGTTGACGACTGGTGTTGGGGCAATAGCTCCACTGTCAGTTCCTGTGGGAGCCCTCTCATTTCTGCAGGTTGATTCTGTGGCTCACCAATAGTCTGAGGTCTGGATAAGGAAGGCCATTATCCTTCATGACCATCCAGGGCCTAGCAGGCACTTCCAATGGGTGTCTATAATCCTACCTGCCAGGCATGAGGTGTGTTGTTTTCATTTGACGCATGATAGAATATTCCAATGACGTCCCCAAGCATACACGTCAGCTCTGCCTATCTATACAATTCGAACATAGGGCTCCAAGACCCAACATAGCAGGGCTGGGGATTTAGCTCAGGGGTTCCGCCACCTGCCTTGCAAGCGCAAGGACCCGAGTTCAATCCCCGGTACCAAAAATAAAGAAAGAGAAAACTTAGGGCCCAAGTGCTTCTGATTTGAATATTCCAAAAGTTGGCCATACACCGCTACTTTGAAAAAAAAAAAAATTCAGTGTGGGGTAAACGTTTTATTTTTCAATCCCAATTTGTAGGTGCAGATTTGAATTCAATCCTGTGACAGCAAAACAGGATCTGTTGTAGACTACACTGTCACATGACCACCACACCTCCCTTAGCCCACTTAACAGGGCAATTTCTGGGCTGGAAATCGGTCTAGAATTTTCCATCTACTTAATGACCTAGCTCACTTCCAGTTGGTTTGAGGCCACCAGGGATCCTTGGCCAACTCTAGCCCGAGTGGGCATCCTACCACTATCCCCATTTCTCCAGGTACCTGAGGCCCGAGCTTATGCTATCTTGCTTCCAGGTTCGAACCAGAAATAACAGCACTGCTTCCAGCCGGGAGAGGTATAAGCCCTCCCCACGTTCCACCCGAGGCCGGCAGGGCCGCAGTCACGTGGATGAGACCCCCGTGGAGTTCCCGGCTACTAGGGTTGGTCCCCCTGCCCCGGTCTCTGATGGGAAGTCTGCCGCCGTACACCCAGCTGTGCCGGTGTACTGTGTCTTTTCTGCATACTCCCTCTCCTGCTTTTCAGCATCTTGCTTTTCCGTTCTCTCCTGGGTGTGGATAAACTTCGCCCAGGCCAACAGCTTCTCTTCCTGTCCTGATCCCGGATGGGACTATGTATGCAACCCCAGAATCTCCTGTTTGGTGGGCTCTTACCTCAACTTGGAATTGAGTTGGAAGCCACTGATTTCCAGAGCTGTTTTCTCTCCTTACACCTTCAGCTAGCTGCCTTTAGGCTTTGGGCATCCCCAGTGGGTCCAGCAGAGTCTGCTTTTTGGCAGGTTGGGCATACAGTGGGTACTTCAACCAGTGACCCTCTCTCTCTGAGCTCAGTCCTTGGAGCCTCTTGTTATTGTGCTTTCAACCTCCACTGTGTCCGTCTCTGGACTCTTACAGTGACTTTCTCCTGCCACTTCAGGGAAGTTTGCTCCTTGGTGTTTTCTGCCCGCTTTACTTGTTTCTTCCCTCTTTCTGCGTGTATGGGAAGCCATTGGGAGAACACAACCTCTGTCACCTACTTGCTTTGCTATACTCGGCCGCAAACTGTGTCCTTCTTTCCGCAGTCTCTGAGGCGGCGGGCAACTGCGTCTGCAGCCACACCGTGGTCATCCCCTGCCAGCCCTTACCTCACCATCGACCTCACAGAAGACGATGTAACACCCCAGAGCAGCAGTACCCCTTACACCAGCCTAGCCCAGGACGGACAGCAGGACAGCTTGGAGGAGTCCTCACAGGTGGATGCGGAGGGCGGAGACACAGATAGTGTGGAGTATCAGGTACACAAAAAGATGTGTCTGAGGACTTTGAATACAAGGAAAGGAAAACATTTGCTGCCTATGGTTGGCAGCTGATAAGCTGATGCTACAACTTTTCTCATTTCTATTTATTATTTTTCTCTAAGACAGGGTCTTGTATGCATACTCAGCTGTCCTCAAACTCAAAAAATTCCTTCTGCCTCACCCTCCCAAGTGTTGGAAGTATAGACATGGCACAGCCATACCCAGCTTATTTTTTTCAATTTTTTAGACAGGGTCTCACTATATAGTCTGGCTTAAACTTGTGATCCTCCTTCCTCAGCCTCCACAGCGAGAGGATTATAGGCATGAACCAATGCCTAGTGAATCAGGGATGTGGATCATAGTTTAATTAGCCAATAGTATTGTGTCCTGAAGTTCTCTCCATACGTACAAAGTACATTGTAATGTCAGTATACTTTATTAATTCGTGGTGCCCAGGATTGATCCCAGGGCCTTCACAATTTACACCCTCAGTCATTTACTTTTTTTTTTTTTTTTTTT